ATCCGTGGAGGAGCTGGGAATCCAAATCTGTGGACAATGTGCTAGTACCTCAATCTCCATTACTCACGTCTGGCAAGACACCTACTGGAGTTGTTCTGAAGTAGTTCCCTATTCATGCTGAAGTCATTGGTCTTGAAGACTCCTACCTTCACAAGCCCTCTATAAACATTTCTTAATACGCTTTCGCCGATCCATTCTCACTGTACTTTTCACTCGATTCTGCACCCAGATAAGACAATAACTACTGCTACTTCATAAAGAAGTAAACACACCACTTTTTCTAAAGAGATTCTCATTTGCCTTCCACCTAGAAGGCTGCCAACACTTTGAGGCGGGTCTGACCACCTGCCTGTCAGCTAGGCTACCACTACATTACATTATATAGTTATGGCCCAGTCCAGAAAGGGGCGTTTGACTGTAATTCATTACAGTAGGTGGAAGTCGCTGAAACTGGCCTGGATCTCTTAGTACCAAGAATTACTCATGTCACACAAGGGTGGGAAATAAGCTGTTTGGTCTCTTGCTCAGAGATATTTTTCCTTTAACTGTTTCAGAATTACACATTCCCGGAATTCCCAAAGAGTAAGGAGCATTGGAAAAAAACATTTTAAGCCACCTGAAGTTAAGATTCAGAACAATTTTCTGTGCACGGAACGAGATTTTTTCTTCCTTTGATTTCTTTTCTTTAAAACACCATGTTTACATAGAACAAAAGGGATATAAAAACAAGTCAAGACAAAATTTTAAGATTTGGTGTTAAGAATAGATCTATTACCCACAAACTACAAACTCTTCTAGCAGCACAGATATTTCAAAGAGATTCAGAGCCGCAGCACAATATCCAATAGTCATCACTCACAGAGGCAAGCTCAACACTTTTTCTCAAATTACATGCACTGAAAGCTATAGAAATATCTAAGGTTCATTAAGGAAAAAAAATAAATAAATACCCGCAATGTAGTTTTGCCATGAAAGCCCAGAGAGCATTCAATGGTTGGATCTCTCTCTTACATTGTCATGAAAAAAGGTGAAGTCTGTATTACATAAACACCAGGACTTTTTTTTTCCCTGAAAAGTACCTGGCAGTTGAGAAGAACCTACTGAAAGCAATTCAACTGCAGATTACAATGGTCCTCTACAACAAGGTTTGCTCTTCCTCTTCTTGACAGTGTTTTACATTTGCACGCCAATTTTATCTCTGAAGATGAATGAAACATTTTGAAGTATTCCTTGCTCAAAATACTCCTGTCTGAGCAAACATATCTAAGACATGACAAAGAACAGGATACCTTACTACACTACACTCTGTAGGCAAAATAAGGAAGTTCTAGACAATTTGAGGCTCTGGAAATCCAAGCACTGGGAATAGAATGAGAAAACCTCCCCCTCCAAAATGGTAACAATTTTGTGATTAATTAAGATGAATTCAACAGACTCTCCTTTCAACTGGAACTAAAAATTTTCACGCATTTTAAAATTCTTTCTCATATTCTGAGGCTGTATGGTCAGACTAAGTGATCTGAAATTAAGAATACTGAGCTCTAGCGTCTTAAGTAATGAGTGGTGCTGGAAATGCCTATTAACCAGCCTGGGAAATGCCTACTAATCAGGCTGTAAACTTGCTTGTCTGTTCCTTACCAGTAAAGCAGATGATAACATAAAAACAGAAAAATAACAACAAGAAATATTTTTAAAACAATATTTTGATTATTAAAAAGCAGATGAGTGCACTTTTGCAGTGTTATCAGCCATTATTAAAACTTCCCCTGCTTGGTACAAACAACGGAGACCTTCAAGATTCAAGCAGCCGGTGGTTTCCCTGTATATTTTGTGAGATTTCCCTCATGTGTTTGTGCCATACAACTCAGGCAATTAAAACACAAATGCTCCGATGAACTTACTAGCCTACCAAATCAGTTACTCAAACGCCTGTTAAATTTGCAACACATCCCTATGAATATTTAGAACAACGCTCTTCTCTTCACAGTGGCCTTGAGTACTACAGAACTGGTTACCAGATACTAAAGGCTTTTAGATTTTTAGTTTAGATTAGTACTTCCTTCAGGAGGTTTCTCCATAGATTTAAGCATCCTCAGCATCAACAAATGACAGCAAACGAACTACAAAAGCCTGACAGTCAGTGTTGGGTAGTATCTTAGAGATGGTGACATAAGTGGCATCCTGTTCAGACACCACTGAAGCCCATGAATCAATGGCACGGCTCAACGAAGGAAGTCAGATCTTCCAACAGATCTCAGCTTGTAGGAACAACTGTACATAAGATGAAAGGGATTATCAATTTAGGGATGCAAACAGTAAAAAAGCTTCCAATTTATCATGGTAAGTTTCGGGAATGGTAATGTGAAATTGCATTAAATTAGTTATGTGATGTCAGATTAATCCTTAGATGATCACAGGAGTAGGTTAAAATAGTATATGTATTTTTGCTGATTAAGGTAATAAGAAAGATTCAAATGTGACTTATTCCAGAGGTGAAAATCATTCGTCTTCTTTACAATAAGCAACATACATATCCATAATTGTGAAAAGACACCACATCAATAAAGTAGAATAGATACTTAGGGGTTGTCACCTCCATCCGCAGAATCACAGAATGGCTGAGGTGGAAAGAGACCTCTTGAGATCATCTAGTCCAATGCCCTGCTCAAGTCACCTACAGCAAGGACTGTGCTCACCTGGACTTTGAGTATCTTTACAGATAGAGACTCCACAATCACTTTGGGCTACCTATTTCAGTGTTGGACCCTTCCCACAGTAAAAAATTATTTTCTGTGTTCTGATGGTTTTCACAGCTTTTAATTTGTGCTCATTGCCTCTTGTCCTGTCACTGGGCATTACTACGAAGAGTCTGTCTCCCTCTTCTTCATTTCATACCATCAGCTACGTAAAGACATTGATAAGCTCCCCCAAGCCTTCTCCCCCTAAGTCAGGTTGCATAGTGCCAGTTTTCTCAGTCTCTCCTCACACGAAAGATGCTCCAGTCCCTTAATACTCTTCATGGCCCTTCTGGAATCACTCCAGTAAGTCAATGTCTTTCTTGTACCGGTGAGCCTAGACCTGGAAACAACACTCCAGATGTGGCCTCACCAGTGCTGTGTAGAAAAGATCTTTATGCAACAAAAGTAAAAATCAAGGCAAGATAGGGTCTGAGGACTCAACTCAATGATGAATTGAAACCCCCAAATGGAATATTTTATTATGACACCTCAACACAGAATGATCATATAGTAACTCCAAAAGTAAGTTATTTCATTGCACTGAATTAATCTAAATTCACTCATATCTAGTATCGTCATGATCCCTGCCAGGAACTAAAAGTAATTAATTCATTTCCATAAAAATCTTCTGCAAAAATCTAGATTACAATATTTCCAAAGTCATAATCTCCAAATTATTTAATATTTATATCTCATATAATATCACTACGCTACTAGCCTTCACAGAGCTAGGGAACAAGAAAAAAAATATATATACGCATATACATACCTGTATCTCACAGCTCAAGATGAAAAGTAAAGACAGACACAAAGATGAGGTGAATTACTGTAACTCTATGGAATTCAATGCAATTTCACCTGGTTTTGATACTGAAAGACATCCTTTCCATACAAATATACATTTGCACTCCAACCATATTTCTCAGAGATCACCACGGAGATACGCAATGCAAGTTAATATGATCATCATCTCTATAAAACAAATGCCACATGGAGTAAAAAAGGATAAGGTATCTCTTCCTCAAAGGATAAGATATCTCTTCCTCAAAAGGATCAGTCTGAATTTTTATATACTGTTTCTTTGTGAAAGATCCAGGCTCAACTAAAGCAGATCAGGAACCGTTTTTGACCAGTTTCAAACAGCCCTTCTAAAAAAAAAAAGTTATCACGACTGATAGAACAGACCCTAAAATCTGCAGAAAAGCAAACTTAATTGCTATTGTATGTCCATCTCTACTAACGTGTCATCCTCTGACATAAGAGAATTAATTTTCCTTGTCCCCTCCAAAATCTACACTGTATGTTCCATACATCCACTTCAGTATTGCCTACAGCACTAAATGCATAATAATTAAAATGCAGGCACTTTAGTAATACCATTCATTTAACATAGCCATATTTAACTATATAACGGTTCAACTTAATTTATCTCTTAAATAAGGCTTGAGTTCTAAAAAGATACTGGAATATATCAATCCATTGGGAATCTCTGCCAGAAAATTACTTCACTGCTCAAACATACGTTTTCTGAAACTTTCTATAACTTTGCTCAAGCTTTATTTAAGGGGATTAGACTTTGGAGGCTTAACTATTGCTGGTTTAAAAAAAAAATCCACTATGAATTGCTAAAACTTAGTAAAAACATTTTGGAAATGCCAACTGAAAAGTTGTAGTCAATAAAAAAAAATACCTAATTCAATAATTGAGCCTCAATTTAGCCTTCTCCTTTAATTTTATTCCATCTGCATATTTTGGGGTTATGGTTTGTTTACTTCTTTCGTTGCACAGAAACAGCTGCATAATCAGTCACTGAACTGACTGCAAGAAAATTGAGCTGATAACCTTGTTATAGATCATCTGTATTTAATATCTTACAAATTCATTAAAATGATATTTTTTACATATATGAATAAAAGTAAAAGACAAAAACAACTGGAGTCTGCAGTGTGTGCTAGCAATCATTGCGGGTGGGTAAACTGACAACATGTAACTGCATATTAAGACAAATGTAGAATTTAGACAAAGTATTCCATCTCTTTTCAGATGTATACTTTTAAACCTCAGGAACTGTTTTCAGTAGATGTCATGCCTTTTAACTTGAAAAAAGATAAGCGCAAATAAGCTCCCAATTGTCTCCCCAATATGTAAACCACATCTCGGGCTGCTGTCTCTGTTTCGCCTTTGAAGTTTCCCTGAAATGTCATGTGTTGTGAAGACTGCTGTGCATAAGCAAGACAATTTGCTCACTCTCAGAATTCTTACCAGTTTCCACTGCTATTTGGTATCCAGCCTCTAGTCTCCGAGATGACCTTTCCAGCCTCTCTGTGTTATCGAGCAGATGTGCCCTCTGAAAAAGAAAAGGGGAGAGAAAAAAAAAAATAAAATCAGGCAGCGGTCTACAATATTCTCCCCCCCTTTTAAATTCTGCTTTTGTATTCCAAAACATAAAAATATCCACGTATATTTTATGGAAGTGCCCATTACAAGGACCACGGGAAGGGGCAGGTTATATGATCAAACATAATTATATGTACCAATCATTTTTGGTTTGAAACATGGAATGTGTGCTTCACTCTTATTACATGAACTCACAAAACAGAATGCGACTATTATACGGGAAACCTGTCTGAAGAGCATTTCCAAAATAGAATTCCCTGTGACACATGTATGCAAGCACCCATTATTTCCATTCGACTACAGTTTGATGAAACCATCACTTCAAATGCAAGTGGTAGTTTTTAACATGAACTTAATTTTCAGCAGAGGGTGTATTTCCTTTATGTGTACGACTCAAGTGAGGTGATAAAAACAACGAGCTATTCATACAGAATACTGAACAGCATGAATATTCTTCAGACTGTTTGATGTAAAAGATGTAGAAACAAAACACTGGTTTCTTGATTTACATCTCTTCTGCCTAAATATATATATGAATATATAAATAATATACACACAAGCAGGTATAAGATATATTTCCCAGAAGTCATTTGCCCATTTATGAGATAACAATAAACTCTAGTCAAAAGCCATCCCCCAACATATTTTCACTTGGGGAGTCTGCAATAGTGAAAAAGGGAAATTATTATTTTAATTAGTTTATTCTCCACTCAAAACGCCAACATTTCAACATGTAAACTCATTTCCTTTGGAAATTTGATCCTAGACTACTCTAATCAAGCCATCAAAAAATATAAGCCCCCTCCGCCGCCTCCCCCTGTAAAGTAATCACACACACCCTTCCAAGTACCCTTTTACCCAAAAACAACATTTTGGATATTTGTCAAAAAATACTTCCTACAACTTTGCCTTGTTGACAGATGTCATTTTAAAATTGAAGAAATGCTTTCTAATAATAATAAAAAAAGGAGGTGCCACACATATTATCTGAGTGGCTGTCTACCGAAACGATCTACCTTGCTCTAATGAGCCCCTATGGATCTTGGGAGATGCAAGCTGTATTGACATGCACACTTAAGCTAATACACCTAGACCAGTGCCTCCAAGCTCTAGCAGCCAGGGATGCTGACAGAATATCTCGCTTCTATCTTCAAAGAAAGGAAGTGATTAGTATGTTATCATTACCATTCAAAACGTGATTTCCCTATTCCCTCCCGGCATAGGTGACACATCTCTGAGATGCGGCCAGACGATCGAGGCAGCTAAAGCCACATCAAAGCTTGCCTTGAATTTTTTTCTTTTTTTTTTTCCCTCTTTTTTTTTTTTTTTTGGAAATCATTAAAACAATGCATTTAGATCAGCACAGATAGGACCCAATGTGAAGGTCAGGAAAGCTGCAATAACAGTCTATAATAATTAATAGAGTTGTCTAATACACAGTGGATAGGTTAAGAGTAAATTGCAAAAAAGCCTTTTGCATTCATGGGGGGCAGGCCACCAAGAAAAAAAAAATCAGCACAAGCACTTAATAAAATTTAAACCCATAAGTTACAATGCTGTAATTGAAATCATGACAGCAACTAGAGTGGTGCATGTTCTTAGTACTCATGGTCAATCTAGATAATTAGTGTTAATTTTGCTTAATTTTTTTTTTAAAAGGCACCTTTTCATAACATCTGCTAGTTCCTCTCCATTGTCCATTAGAAGGAAAAAAAAAAGTGTAAGTCTGCAGTGCCTTTCTCCAAATACTGCCCCCCTAAATTAAAGAACAACTAGTGTTAAATATTTTAAACTTTATAACACACATCAGAAACCTAACACATTACATAGACGTGTCTCAAGAAAGAAAAGTATATGAGAAGGTGGGGGGACATAATGAAGGTAAGAATCATAAAAGTAAGAGAGGAGACACTTTAAAAAAAAACCAAAACAAAAGCTGGGAGTGAGCACAAGGAATAAAACATTATAATTACAGAAGAGATGTATAGAGCTGTAGTGGTATGCTGGAAAAGACTATCCTGCAATATTAAGGGAGAGGGAGGGAAATAATCGTATTTCACATTACAATGTGGAAGAGCTACCCAACTGAAAGAAGTAAAACATTTAACTGTGTAATTTTTATATACTACATAAGTCACATTTAATCTAAAAAGTAAGTTACAAGCCCACAGCTCAGTTCAGTCGCACTTCAAGCAACGAGAACACTAAAGCCCCATGAACTCAGTGCAAACATTAACTCAGAGCTGTTTCTTACTTGATTGCAGAACCTTTCCACCCAAGCCAACCTATAATGAAACCTAATGTTTACCATAAAGGGTGATGTTATTTACACTGCTTGGGTTTGGAGGCACCCTGTCCTTTGGTCACGAAATCAATGCCCCACAGCAGCAGCTGATGCTCTCAGATGCTCCCACCCCTCCCCAAAGCCCTTCTCCCACACATGCCCCGCTCTCCGTGAGGCGGGTACCGAGGTGATTCAGCGCGTCTTGCAGCTTCAGAAACAGCTTCTAGCTGGAGTTATATAAGGAAGTTTTGCAAAGTGGCACGCTCTCACTAGAGATTTAGTCATTCCATGTGGGCTGGATTCAAACTGAGATCTCAGGAGCTCAAAAGACCGAGCAACACAGCCTCCATGGAAGCCTGTGTACGGCTGGAAGTGTGCTGGGATAGAGCCTTGTAATGAGAGGAAGCGCAGGTTTTATTAGCAAACAGTATGGCAAACCACAATTTCTTTTAAGATCAGTTCATACCTCCTTAGGAGAACTATAATTGGGGATGCCTTGATGTTTCACTATGTGATGAGTTAAGAATTATGCCTGAGTCACTGTACTAGCCTTCATTTAAACTTTAATGTGCATTTTGCATCGGGTATAAATACACCATTGCAATTACAACCTACCCAACACATAGTGGGCAGCTAAGTGCAGAGAACAGAATGATAACGACTGCTTTTTAAATTGTTTCTCTCTCTACCCGTACAATTTTGATTTAGACAAAATAATAAATCTCTTTATTTAGTTCTATTTGCTGCTGCTCTCACAACATGCAGAGAGAGGAAAAAGTAACTTTTGATGCTGGCAAGTAAAAGCAAATAAAAAAATCACCAGAAGCAATGTCAAAATTTTTAAGGTGGCTAACAAAGAGGATTTATAAGCTCCAAAAGGTATGACTGAGTTCAGTATAGCTGCCAAGTTGCAGACCTTTACAATAACATCCTGAATTTTCTTATTTGCCTTCATAGCCATTTCAAAAAGAAGAGCAGCTAAGTAGCAGCTTTGTTCTTTGTATCTGATTATATTTTCAGAGTAAATTTACAAATCACGAATCTTTATGTTTATAAAACTATAATCTATGTTTGCAAGCAAAAATGACCCTACTACATTCTTTTACAAAAGCACAGGAGCAGACGTGCAGATGTCCTTAAAGGGATAAGCAAATGAACCTCGTCTTCTGAAAAATCTCAGAAATCAGGCTTACAAACCCTTGCAACAATATTATCATCCGTTTAAATACTGGGACTATTGGGGAGGGGAGCTCAGCTGTGGTGGGAGGGCTTTCATGTAGTTACATATTTATTTTGTTTAATTTTTTTGGTTAACTGTTTTACTCTGTATCTTTAACATATTAATATCAGCTCCACAAGAAGAGGGGAAAATAAAGCATTCAGAGAACTAGTGAAAGAATCTTTATATCACAAATATATTACTGTTTTTAAGAATTCTCTGTAATAGTCCTTAATCTGGTTACTTTACAATTCTTTGACATCACCATTTCTAAAACTTACCAATCCTTTCCTGCAGAGCTCAGTATTCATTACTGATATGTCTGGGCACATATGTTTCAAAAAGAAGATACCAGACAAATATGTGATGTTAAAACACTTGTGCTTCTAAATATATTTATTCAAATACTTCACTGGTTCAAACTCTCTGTATGAAACCCTTCAGAAATCTGACCTATAAGTAATCTTGACTTTATTGAGACCTTCTTTTTGGCAGCTATTAGGAAATAATAAAAAAAAAAAAAAACACACCAAAAAATAACCAGTTCAGATACCTGCTTTGCTACAGCAGTAAGCAAGAGCAGAGATTAATTTCAGAAAATACACTGAAACACTTGAGCAACTGACCATTAAAACAGGCTTCTCTCCCTAAATATTTATGAGTAATTTTATAACTGGAAGAAAGGTGTTCTGGAATACTGATCTCTAGTGTTACACCTATAGATCTACAGCACTCACAAATAAATAATAAATATTGATATGTGTGTGTAGGTCTACCTGTACTGTCTTTTCAATGGGTATACAATATCCAATATCATACATAAAATACTTGAATACCTCACACCAAATTCAAACCATTGTGAAATACTGTGCAGTTTTTACAGTCCTTCAGCACAGGCTTCTACCAAAGCAATGCTTTCACTTTCTATACCAGTGTATAAATTTATTTACCCTATCAAAGATTTTGTGATGCAAACATGATTATTACTGTACCTGATTTGATCATGGTATTCTAGCAGAGATCAAACAATAGGTTTGGGTTTTTTTCCCCTTCTTTTTTCTAAGTGCCTTTAAAAAAATTTCCACTATCAAAGAATGTTAATTTCTAAGGTTTGATCTAGAGATTCCTATGTAAGTATACAATTATTAGGGAAAAAGAGGCACAACAGTGAATATTTTAAAGCAATGTAATCAATATTTTTGCTTTGTGTAGATTTCCCTGCAACAATGAACAAAAAGATCTACTTCAGATTTAGAAACTCAGCTTTAAAGGGAAAGCTAGACAACAAAAAGCAAGAAAGTACTCACCTCTTCACGTAATTTTATCAACTGCAACATGAACGCACAAAAAAGATAAAAAGGAAAGAAATGGCAGGAAAGAAAGATCAGTTGTGTGACAGGATACAGAATTAACATTGACAATTTATCTGTTTACATGTTTAGCATTTAAAAATCACAGACAAACACATTAAAAGAACCTAAACATAGACTACATGCAGAGTTTTTTGAACGAATAAAGATCACTTTCTCACACTGTCACATTAAACAAAGAGAATAGTGTGAAATTCTCTTTTAAATCACATCTAAGGCACCATCATGAAATAAAGGGGAATGACTTCATAGAAGTCTATATTATAAAGAAAAAAACAAGTTTACTATTCCTCTCTCCGAAGATCGTACAGCTGAGGTGGTTTTGTATATACAAGTTTTCAGAATGTTTTCTGTGTATTTTAGTTGTGACAACTGATTTCTTATTTTCCTAGCAGATCTAACTTATTAATAGATGACTGTATCTTTATAGCACGTAACCACTATTTCGATACATCTCATACAGACCTTTTTTTTTCTCCCAGTTAAAAAAAAAAAAAAGCAGCAGCTTAGTTAAATGGCTCAGAATTATGATTTATTGCATGGCATATTTAAAAAAAGACAAAGGAACAGGGAACAACACGAAACACATTTCCCTCAGAAAAACCCATTCCAGGTTCTTAATCCTAGACCACTACACAGTGTGTGTCTATATACACACATTTTGTGTGTGTGTATACTTATACAGTATATACATTTATATTTATCAATTTATGCTTTGAAATCAACACAATCTAACACTATTAATAATATTGCTCTGGCAGGATTACTATAAAACTAAATAAAACCCCAGTAACTCACCCTAACCATTCTATGATTCTACGATTATCAAGGTATGTTGTAACATGCTCTCCCCTTAGAGAGAAAGATAAATTATTTGTACTGGAACAAAACATATAATTACTCACAACAAATGTCTACATAAGAGTGCCTCTTTATAAAAAATTACAGTTCTCTCACCAATTCCAGTTGAATTCGAAATTACAACAGCTACATCATTATCTCAGTTTATGCTGATACTTCACCTACAGTTTCATAACACTAATTTCCAACACGTGTGTAAGCTGAGAATGTTTACTGCAAACAAAGTCTCGCCAGCATGAAGGAAACAAAAGATCCTCCATTATTCTCTATTGTTTCATAGGGCTCATCTAAAACTGAAGGCACACCTCACGCCGGCACCAAAGCGGACAGCGAGGCTCTAACGAGATGTAATTAGGAGGGCTACTACCACACGGACAAACCGAAACGGCTCCTCAGTACGAAGCTGAAGGAACTTTGCTAGAATTTGGTATAAAGAAAACTGCATTGTCCGCCAAACCGGCGCTTAAATTCGAGTGCTTGGCCTATCATAAATTGGTCTCTTTCTCCAGATCTTCCCCCCCTTTTTTCCCCAAAAAGGCAAACATTAAGGCTCTTTAGAAAGAGACAGACGATCTGGGAGTTGATCACATAGCTATCTTTTCTTTCTGAGGCCACCATTCTTCAGTTGACTATGATACTTAAAGGGCCAAAGTTTAAAACTACTCTCCCGCAACAGAGCCCGTTTGGGCATGCCACCCTGCTACAATCAATGAGAGTTTTAAAATGCTGCACATTTGTTTTTTCAATAGGTCCCAAACAAAAATGTTCTATCTTGTTTGTGCTGCATGGCTGAATTTAAGCTCTGCATGGGATTTGCAGCTAAGCTAAGTAATGGGAGAGGGTGGGCTTTTTTTAAACATTGGCTGAAAGATATTCATTCAAATTAACAAAAGATGTATTTTTCCCCCATTTAACAATGCTCTTGATGAAAATGTGTTACCTTTACTTTTCTATTTCGAAACATTATTTTTATTACACTCAACCCTCAACTGTAAACAGCGTTAAGCCGTGTGCAGCCACCATTTTAGGTTATGATAATCAGCACATTTTTGAAACAAAGATTTTTTTTTTTTTTGCAATACAGAATTCGATATAAGAGGTAATCTGTTCCTTTGTAGGCTAAAAAAAAAAAAAAAAAATCTGGTTTACGCTGGTTTGAACCAGTGGAATCTCTTGTGGCTAAGCCTTCTGCTGTGACTAAAATCAAAACTGCGCCGCAGAGAGCGAGGGAGCGAGATGGGGGGGGTGTGCGCGCACGCGTGTGTGTGTGTGTGTGTGTGTGTGTCTGTGAAGCTTGTCACGTGATGCAGAAAACTACCGAATTTTTTTTAAAAAGCTGATAACGTTACCGCCGTCTCTGTCCGCATATAGATAACGAATAAATGCTGAACTCTATTAAACGCCCTTTACACATTATCGTGGGTCGAACACACAATTTTCTGAACTTATGATGACAGTCTATTTATTTTGCTATAAACCCTCGGCATGTAACGAACAGATTTGTGTCTGGTAATGATCTGCTCTGCCAGGGCTATATGAAATGATACCGACCTTCTTTAGATCTTGGGGAATTAAATTGACCAACTTCACCCCCTGGTCTGTAGCTCAAGTTTGACACACTTTATGCACAGCAAGCCCAAATCTAATATTATCGGAACTTTGTAGTCAGAAATTAAGTAGCCTCAAAATATTTGTTCACCACAAATCACATATACAGTGTATATATATACAGACACGTAATTTAACCTAATGTGAATTTATTTAAAATTATTAATGAACATAGTGGTGAAAGAGAAAGGAATACTATTCTATTTCAAGAAAGCTGGTAACATTGTACCTGACACTATTTTGGTCGAGAAGGACTTCTGATCTAACTCAGCATATACTTTCTAAAAAACATACGAATCGCCACATAAAACAGTTCTATGATTATTAAAGTGAAGCCACAACTTTAACTAGTGGCTCAGAACTTTCAAGAGATTTGACAAATGTTGGTGGCCAGAGAGACAAATAAGACTCAAAAGTAAGAGAGCCCATTTAAGATCACTCCTGGAAAACAAGTAACAACTCAAAGCACACAGTAGGTTTTTGGGTGTGGGGTTGAGGTAGGGTTTTTCTGATGGGAGAAAGTATGTCTCCTGATTCTCAACCTCTGTACATGTCTCATCTGACTACATCCACCCGATTCAAGTTAAGAATAAATTAATGTATACTAAGCAATGACTTACTAAACCCTGAATGCATTAAAAGCATTATGTCACTATTTATCTCATTAAACAAAGATACATTTATTAAAAAAAAAAAGCTTTGAATAGCAGTATTGAATGTATCTTATAACTTCTTACAAGAAGTTTCTATATGCTTTATCTGGCTTCATTTAATTTTAGATACTTAATACGGTTGTATTAGCCAGGACACATCAAGCTCCTTTTTGTTTTTTCCAAAAACATTTTGCAAATGTTTATCACAATGACAAAGACCACATCTAAAATGTACAGCTCATATCTCGTTTCCCTTGTGTAACACTCCAGTGTAACCAGATACTCAGCATTTCTATTGGCAGATTTTACCCATATTTGTGGATTGGTACAGGAGCAATTCTTAACTGGCAACTTTTTTCAAGAACTCCTTTGTCAGAAGAAGAATCCCTCCTCTCCTTTCCCTTTTCAAAGTTTGGTGACTGAATTGGGAGGGGAAAAAAAAAAACACACCACCTTTCAGTTTAACTAATACAAACTGATTGGTAAGTGAAAGTCTCATAATATTAGAGTGAGGATCAGTTCATCCACCTATATTTATTTTCATCACACAAAATTAATGCAAGAATTTGAAACATCTTCAAATATTTTACATGGCTATAAGTTACACCTGAGTGTCCTTTCATCATCTATTTCAAGCTTTCTATTAATATAATATTGTGTAGGAGTGAAAGTATATTAGACCTGGGGTTACTGAGTTAAATACATTGAGATAACATGTTCACTACATGGTAAGTACCCAAACCTTACACTTGATTTGGATCGCTGCACATTCTGATAAGCTCAACATCAGACTGAAGCTCTTGCACTAACTGCTTGCACCCATAACTACATGCATATAAGATAACTAAAAATATAAATAATGATATTTCACCAGACAAAGACTGTAATATTGAGTATTGGAACAACACAATAAATAATATCTTTTAGAATACTGGCATTCACATATTTAAAAGAAGTTAGTTGACTCCTTTACGGTGATATTTCATAACATTTCAGTGATATAACATTTTTCAAGGAAGAAAAGAAAGAAATTCAGAACTTTCAAAGGTATGGGGGTAACAATTTCAACTTGGGTTACTACATAAACTCCTTTATCACCTAAAATTCTCTTCCATTTCAGAGGTGGTCATTTGGAAATAAAAACTCATGTTGACAAACGGTTGAAAGTATCATTTAGTTCCTTGAGATGAGTTCATGTTTCCTCCATCAAGTTTAGGAAAAAGATCATAACTTGCAAAAAGTGCACATGTGAACCAGTTATTTAAACATTCTTTAAAAAGTGAAAATAAAATATTTTATCTCATCCCTACACATAAGATATTCTGTTATAAGTAAAGCTTCTTATCACAATTGCCCTTTTATGTCTGAATTCACACATTTTTTTTCTTGAAATGTAAAAATAGCAGCACCTTAAAAGAAATAAAATAAGAATTTTAACACTTTCACAGGACTGTGTTTTATGATCATGACATGCAGACTGTGAAACTCTTTTCCCTGAAATCATCCTTTCCATAAACTCATTATTTAGGGATAAAACCCCCTCATTATTTTACCGAAATTTTGGAATCTCCTCTTGCTATGATATACAAATATGAAGATTAATATCTTTTAAATTTAACCCTTTACATAGATATTAGAGCTGCTGCACACTATAGAGTCTAAAGATGTATTGTATCCTGTGTATAATTTCATTAACGTATTTATTAAAGTCTATTACAGACTTTAAAACTTACACAGCACATTTGAATTACTGTGTAAGATTAAGGCTGAAGGGGTCTCTGTTTTAAAATTCATCGTACTAAGATACGTCTCCAAGTCTCTCTTTTCTCCAGTTCTTAGTGGAACGGAGCTTATATTGAGGGTAGAAGTGATTAAAAATTTCAGAACATGGTTCTGTTCCGTTTCCTTATTTAACATTGCATTTATCAAGTAACCATTTAAACAAGCTTCACTTCCACTACCAAAATACTTTAAATTCTATCTAGTCAGAAGAGAAAACGTGGTATTTAAGAAAACTTTCAACTAACTTCTAACTCAAAATGCGCACCTTTGATTACAGCTGTCATGATTTTCAAAAAGAAAAGACACATTCTGCTTTCAGATGGAGCTTGTCAAACAAGTTTTAGCACCAAAAGAAATATTAACAGGTGGGTCAAAGTCCCCTGAATATAATGTTGCCTTTATAATTGTCAGTAGTGTAGTAGGATCCTCACTGTAGTGTCCAGAACACAATATGGGTACAAGATTTTAAAAAAGCCTCAGGATTACCAAGCTTTCCTTCATTAAAAGAGATGGATAGCACTCTGCATTCGAGTACAACAGGCGTTATGAAAGCACGCTTTCATTAGTACAACTTGTGTTTTTGGTACAAGGAGAGAAAATCTGTTTAGGGAGGAATCACGCAAGGAAGCTGAGTGGGGTACTGCCTAATTCTGAGAGCGCACTTTCATTTGTTTTGCCTGCCAGTGTTGATTTAATTATACTGCATTATTATCAAAGCTTCATTATGTACTTTTTTTATTCCTTTTACATGTGTTTGAGGTGAAGACCTTGGCTTTGTCGGCAAACAGTGCGTTTCAAGTTATTTCTTAAGTACTAAATAATAAAGAAAAGAGAAGAAAAGGGTTTTTTTTAAGATAGCAGACAGTGATCACAAGTTAAAGGGTTAAATGTAAGATCTCCAAGAAACATTTTGAAGTTGATTAAGACCCCAGCTTTGCATTAAACAGTATCACTTCCACATGAGTTGTTGCTAATGCTGTTAAGGAGCAGCTTGAGAAGCCCAGTGTGCCAGTGACCTCCTTCACCCTCCAGCCACCCACTAGGGCTTCTTGATTAGCATCCTACCTGGTTCTCTGAGGAATTCCCGTCATCCCCTAGGAGCTCATTCCGCACCTCATCACTGTAGGCGATCCGTGACCTTTTCTGTAAAACAAAAAGAAAAAAGGGTTAGGAAGTAAAGCTCCGAAGCCATTGGTATCAAGGCTGATCATCTTAAACCTCGAGAGCCCCCTAATGGATACCTATTTGACAAAAAAAAATAAAATATCTGCAAGTAAAAGTTATTACAAAGTTCTTCAGCTGCTGTATTTTGACAAATCTGCATAGCAAAACCTTAGCACTTCTAAGACTGTCACAGCCTCAGCATTTCAGCAATGAAAGCAGCTTCAGTGAAGATCAAGATACATAATGTGTGACCCCAGTTCTGATAATCAGGTAACAGGGAGAGCCACTATAAGCTAATACCAGAAGCACTGAAGAAATGCATGTGTAGAAACCAAGCACATTTTTCTGAAGAACACTTTCTAGCTGGAAGTAGAACGCAGAGTAACACTGCAGTGATGCCATTAAATAGGAAAGGAAGACTGAACTTTTCCCATGTTGAAAAACCTCAAAACCTGAACAACACAAGTGTAACAAAACTGGCTGAACTTCAAGATACAGAAAATTGACAAGTGTTTCCCATGCTGCTAAGGCTATGAATGCCTACAGGGAAATGACCAGAAATCTAAGGGCAAATGAAAGCAGAGAAGACAGCAGTACGAGGAAACATTGGTCTACAGCAGTTCATGGAAACACCACAAAAGGGAGACAGTCTTTCATTAGATCATTATGACGGACAGTTGTTACTCACAGCTTTTGAGCACCAGATTTACTCATGAACTGACCATCATACCGATTCTAAAGTAGATCAAGTGCCGAGCAACAGAAAGGAAATGTCCGAAGATTATCAAGGTAGCACAACATTCAACAGAACAATAGAGAAGTCCCTAAAGAGAACATCAGCCCAGCTTTCAATTTCTTTGTTGGCCAAACAACAAGCTCTTAGTCGGTTAATATTCCTACACTCACCATTAAAAGAGAGAAAGGATTTTTACCATATTGTCTAAAATATTTTTATATTTGACTGCAGTTATGATCAGTTTCACACTTCATCAGAGGAAGAAATCCAAGAACAGCAAGAAGTAAGCTGTAGGGCTTTCCTTTATTGACGGGAGCTTCTATCACACTCTGTCGTGGTAGTCACTACCAGTAGGAACTCAGCAAAAACAAATCTGTCCTCAAACCTTCCCTAATTGGACAATCCTGCCAAAAAACATGCTTGGGACTGGGGCACAGGAAACAACCCACTAGAAATTATCCTGAGCACAGGGAAATACATTACCTTTGCGAGAAAGAAGTTTGGAAGTGAATCACCCCTCGCACTAGGAACCTAGCAGTGGAGTAAGCCTTGCATGGGTCATCTCAGAGCAACACATTTTAGCTTTTTATCCCGTGCAGTTCACCATCATCATCGTCACAGTGCTTACCAGTTTGTAATTCAGCTGCTAGTGTTCAGATCTAGATTATATACTAAAGCTACAGATGTACGTAGCAAGGACAAAGCATACCACGGACCTACTACAAGAGCTGAATTGTGCCAAATCTTTTGGAGATCTCAGCTGTCACAGTTTCATACTAACCAAGCTAAAGTAGTCTACAGCATTAAAGGAAATGAGAACCTTTAAACAGGCTGTGGTATCAGAGCTGCCTGCTTAAATTATTCATTTCATCACTATGGGGGACTAAAACACTCCACAGTATGCAAGAATATCATATGGAGATAGGTTTTGTTTTTCTCTTTTTTCACCAAAAAGCCAACAAATTGGCATAGATTGCTCAATTATATTATTTTCCTATTTTTATTTGATACACATCAAACAAGGAAGGAAATTACAAATATATACCAATAAATATCTAATCTTCTTTTATGATTAAGATTCAATCTTCCTATATGAGGTCTAATAGTTCAACTGTACAGTCTCTCCCACTTTCACAAAATGACTCAGCCCCATTGATTCTGTTAGTGGTGAATGTATTTATCATTATTAGACTGAGATGAGGAGCATGATGCTTCATGAGCTTGTTCTCCAGTGAACAAGTTGCCTAATTATATGTAGAGACTGAAATGGTCCTTGGTTACACATCATTTATTTGAAAGATTTATCTTGCTGATATTCTCATTCATAAGATACTGCACAAAAGAAAGGAAGAAGACTATTCTTCACAGGAAAAAAATAAAGGTTAATAGCAATACAATTTTTAGAGGCCCTTTATAATCCTTTATATCATCACCACTGAAGTTAATAAATATATTTGTATCATTGTTCTTTTATTGCAATAATCTGTCATGATCTGAAAATCAGCAATTATATGAAAAGAACTAACCCTTTGACTAAAATTAGGCATAACTATTTGCCATAATCAATAAATAATTTGATACTACTTTTGATCACTGTTTCACTACCAAATTAATCAATAATATAAAAGGAAAGGCCTTTGAACTAAAGCATTTATTTTTCTTTCAGGATTTGTCCAAAACATGAATATCTTGAATCAGTATTCTCATTTTTATTAAAGTAATATTGGCTAACACTTTTAAATGTGGCTATCAAAATTAGTTCAGTTAATCCAAACTCAATAATTAAATAACTTTCAGATTTTTATTTTTTTTTAGTTCATAACTATCAGCTGTTTATAAATATGTACTTTAGCCAAATGCAAGAATGATAGTTTGAGCTGGAAATGTCACACACTCTGCTACAGTTTGAAGGAACCCAATTCATAATGCATTTTATAAATAGTTAATGACTTCTATACATAAGCTAACCAGGCAAATCAAGAAATTGTCAACATTTTTAGTCTTAGTTGTCAGTTACCACTGTCTACTGGTACTTTATATGTATGTTTCTAGAAAAGACAGAAGCTTTACAGAGTTTGTAATCCAAGGCATTTCTGGGCAGCTCAATATAGGTTTAAGAGCTTCTCTGTGCAGTTTTTGCCTGTAAAGGTCTGTCATATATAGAAGTTTTCCTTGTATTTCGTATTTTCTTGAATATATATACACAAAAAGTCTAAGCACACAAGTGTTTTTAACTCAGGGAATGTGTTTGCGTTCCAATATAGCATGCACACAAACCCATGACGACACACAAGGGTTAAGCTACTTTCTACAAGAACTTCAAGACAGATAAAGTTTCAGGGGCTGTTTTAAATGTACTACAGTACCCGGACCTTCTGACAAGGAAGAATTTCTGATTCCAGGCAGATCTCTCCTGGTTTATGGACAGGATTTTTGCATACTGATTGGGTGATTTTCTTAAAGCCCTGTTCAAACAGATACACTTGCTCAGTTCTGTCTGGCAATTTGGCTTTAAACAATCTGTCTACTTGACCCAAGCCTTAACATTTCCCAATAGAACTGAAAGTGTTCATGGGCAAGCACAGCTAAATTAGAATTGAAATGAATTAACTCAGCTTAAACTAATTAAGATCTGTGATCTGCAGTACCACCCCCCTGTATGATTCTACATGTGAAGTAGGGTACATGTAACCAGACTGTAAGAATTCTGCTATATTACTAATCTGAGCATAACAATGAAGTTCGTCTATTACTAAAGCATACGAGAAGTTAATTTCCATGGCCTACACATGGCAAAGCAATTGCTTAAATTGCCTCACCTGGGAATTTAATACAATGTTATCATCAGACCAGCCACACTGTAAATAGATTTATAATGCTTTCCATGTGCTAGGCTAGGTTGCATATGAATTAAGTAATGATCTGGTATTACAATACAATCAGCTAGTTCCCACACCTGGCAGACAGGATATTTTGCTAAATTACTACCTATACAGATACATCACAACATAAAAACAGAAAAGGCAGTGGGAAGAGAAACAATCTACATGGTGTATGACCGATTTTTACATGGTAACCAAATAAGATGTAGATAGAAAGAGGCATCCAAAATAATCTGTTTCCAACATCTGCACAACAGAACGCATACTTATTCATTTCTATTCAATTTTGGCCTAATTTTCCGCATTCTATACTTTAATTACTCCTCCACATTCTGAAATGTTCCCATTAGTGAAGGCCAGAACTGGCCAATGCCCCCTCATTCCAACGCACTCTCAGCAATCAGCCAAATAATTGACATAAAGTATCGCACATTTTCACACCTGAACTGAAGAATAGCTTTCCTCCTCCTAAATGCTAGGCAGCCCCCTGCACAGACGAGCAACCGAGGTGCGTTTCAGACAAAAGGCCCAGCAAATTCTTTCGTCCCACCTCTTCATTTTTCAGGCTCAATGTTTTAACATTGAACAGATTTTTTTTTTGTGAAATATGCATAAACAAACAAAAAGGTTTATTTATCCACAAACATCTGTTTTCATACAAAATTCATTAGAATTTCCTAGTATATACGAATGGTCTAAAAGAAAAATCTTTAGGCATCTGTTTCAGAGTTTGGCCCTGCTCTAGATGTAAACAGATACTTGAGATTAGCATAATCAGAAATAATTTGTAGGAATAAATCAGATTGTATTTTGTGTTCTTTGAAGGTAGTCAGTTTTGCCATTGCTCTTGCTGAAAGCAAGGTGAAAAAAGTGACCTACCCCTCAAATGGACTGCTAAATATTGCAGAATTTACACTTTCATCTCTGCCTTTTGGAATAGGTACTTAAGCATGTTTGGCTGAGCAGAAATGGAAAAGATACAGTTAAAAAAATTAGAAGAAAAATAAGTGATCCTACTTAACAGTCTTAAAGCTTATATTTAAACAGAAACACAAAAACATTTCTTCAGGAAAAAAAAATAATTGAAATTGCTTAAGAAATTGTGTTCAAACTTCAGTTTTCAAAACTTCTACATTTCTCTGTAAAGGTGATCCAGGAACAATAGAGTAGACACTTGAGACTGCCATTCAAAAGAGGTTTTCCTGTTCTTAAGTAGCTTAGTTTTTATTGATTGTGTGCAAGAAGCAGGAAAATGATTACACAGTACTAATACACAACCTGATGTAATGCTGGACTTTCAAGCATTTCCTTACAAAAGCAAAAAACAAAGCTGATAAATTTCTGTCCAAAAGGAAATAAAA